TAGCAGCAAAGTATGTCACTTTCAATGCGTGGGGAAGTGAACACATCCTGCTTCCTGCCTCTGTTTAGAAAAGCCGAGCACACTCCTTTCCCATCGTTTTCAAAAAGAGAAGACAGTTCTTCTTAAGATACGAGGAAATGGGAAGTCTTATATTTATGCAAGAAGTTCTGGTAAGTACTTGGTTAAGGGAGTTACCCCATTTCTAAGAATTCAAAGAAATTCAGTATACAAAGAGGGTCTATCCAATATCTAGTGGGCACTTAAAAATTATTTGTTGAATGAATGAATATTTTAAAATAGGGAGCCAGTAGTACAAAATTGGCATACTAGTGGTGACCTGATGATGTAATTTTATTTCTTTTCTATTTGGCATACCCCCAATCCCGTCAGCTATGTATACACAGAGTAAGAGAAAAAAGCAGGAATAGAAAAAATTTTATTTATTCCAGTGTGATTTTTGAGGCCAGAAATAACCAGTAATTGTAGTCCAAATGGGTGTCTGGTTGCGTCAGGACACATATTTAAGCTCCTGCACTTCAATAACAATGAGAAAAAAGAAAGAAGCTCTTCTCATGGATTTTTCTGGTCTGTTTTGTTCCACTAACTGTAGTGTGGGTTTATTTTTGCTTTGTTTTGTTTTGTTTTTTTAACATAATTTGAGAGTGGTGCGCTGAATAGGAATATACCAATAGAAACTAAAGTCTGTCTTGTGACGAGATAAAAATCAGTATCTGGAGGATTGGTTGGTAATTCACACTGAAAACAGAAAGATTTGATAAGAAACACATTGGACTCCCCTGATGGGTACATTGTGAGTCTGTGTGAAACAAAAGGCTGGGGGAGGCTCCCCAGTGCCGGTTGTCCTGTCCCAGTCCTATTGTCTGGCCCATGGCCTCATCACAGAACACTCATCCTGATAGCACATCTCTTGGGACCCTGGGAAAATGGAGATTTGGCCTGCACGAATTTTGCAGTTTTTCAATTTTTTAAAAAAGGTTTCAAGTGCAATTAAATCCAGTCTTTAGAAGGCATTTTGTATTTCTCATGTTCTCCTTTCCCAGTTATTTCATGGCCCTCGCTGAGATCAGGAGATGAGTACTGAGCACACCAAATACCCCAGCAGCAGCCAGCAAAGCTGTGAGCAGACTTCACTCAGTGTTTATTTTGTCTGCCTTTCTTTGGATAGCAGGGGAAACAATCTGTCACTCCAAATGTGTAAGGACTCCCCTTCAGACTGTTTGGGTCAGCAACACAGCCAAGAAAACTGAAGCCTGCCACTCAAGTGTGGGAGGTCAGACCCCAGGCAGAAGGCTAGCTGTCCAAGGGGGGCAGGCCCTGTGCCGAGAGAGGGCCACTTGGCAGGGTGGAAGCAGAGCCCAAATGGCCTCCCAATTCAGTTTTCTCCCAGCAGGAAGTCCCTTTGGACTTAGTGGGGACTGTTTCTCCACAGGCACCACCTATTTAGGGATGTGGAAGCATTGGATGATTTCTATTTTTTCTTTTCATTCAGAGCATTTTTGTCAGCAACCAACATTTAAAATTGTCTCAAGATAATCACTGATGGTAGACAGCTGAGAGAACAGAGAACTGGAGGGGATTTGCAGGAGGATATGTACTCAGATGGTGTCTGGTTGCTCCTTTTCTCAACAGTGTGGGCTGAATCCCTGCTATACGGGAGGCCATGTAGGGTATGACCACGTGCCAAACATGGGCCTGGTCCTCAAGTTTCCCATTCACACGTGGAAATAAGGCCTCAGCCCAAGTACTTAGAGTGCAGTGGAGTTCATGTTCTGTGGCACAGAATAGTCAGTGTGCGGCAGAATAGTAAAGGACCTCCTAAGAACATAAAGAAAGGGGAAAATAAGTTTTGCCTTCTGGGAGTTACACTAGGAAAGTACATGCAGACAAATTGGTTGAACATGGTCTGAGGATAAACCAAAGAGTGTACTGCTTCAGATTTGGGGAAAAGTAAAACTACATTCAAAGATGCCTGAATATCCCAAGGAGTCTGTGAGGGTGATGGGGGCTGGGAAGGGGTGGGGTGATAATTGTGGTGAATTGTATTTAGGCTGTTTGGAGTCAAATGAATCAACAAAACGTAGTGATCCTGGAGAGGAGGGAACCAAAGTCCAGTAGTCATTGGCCTAAGGAGAGGAACAGTTCAGACTCTGTGACAGAGGAATCCCCATTTGGCTCATCAAGCCAGCAACTTGTTTTAATTGTACACTGACATCATATTCTCATTATAAATTGGGTGCTAGTTTAAATCAGGGAGACTCTTATCCTCCTGTGACATGTATGCTCCTATCCATAGGTTATAGCTGTTATTATAAATTAATGTAATGGCATTCAGCAATACACACACACACACACACACACACACACACACACATCAGTTTCATGAACTCAGGTAATTTGTATCCATTCTTAAGAAACAATTCTGCCCAGCATAGTTGTTCAAAATCAGGTACCCCACCTACAACTGAGGATTAGACCCAGACGTTGGTGAATGCCCCAAAGTGGTCTGATCAAGACCATTTGGCAGTCAGCAATCTGTCCGCTTCTAGTGACACCCCAAGCTCATTGCATGCTTTTCAGATCAAGCAAAAATATAAAATAAATGCTACATATGGTGGGAGGTCAGCAGAGAAGATACATTTCACCTCTAGCTGGAGCCATCATGAAAACTCTATCTTGAACAAACGCAGGTGGGACCTTGGTGAATGGAAACCCAGAAGACAAGTCATGAGCCAGATGCAGAGGGATGTGCACAGCCCGGGCAGACAGGACCTGCTGGGAAGTAGTGGGAGACAGCATGGGGAAGGTAGCTTGGACCATCGTGAAAGGCCTGAACTGCTAGAATTGGGAGGAGAAGCACATTGAATAAGAACTAAGGAGCAATTGAAGGGTCTAAGTCAAAGAATTTGTGCTGTTAAGAGATACGGTATGACTGCAGTCAACAAGATGGATTCAACTAAGGTGCAATTTAGAGGCAGGGAGACAAGTTTGGAAGAGATAACCGTGGCCTCAAATAAGCTGGAGGCAGATGGATGGCTGCAAGGAAAATTCAAGTGCTAGTATAAGGGTGCAGGAAACTTCTGCAGAAATGCCATGGATTAGCCAGCCTCCTTTCTCTGGCTAAGATTTTCAAATTGAATTATGCCAGTCATAGGAAAGCTTTGTGCAATATCAGAGTCGAAAAGAACATCCCGCCTCATTTTATTAAGAGAAGCGCTGGCCCTGGAAAGACAGCAGCCTGATGACCTTTAACTGAGGTGCAGGGAGGGTGTGAACAGGCACTGCTGAGAGGCCCCAGTGCGGTGGGGCAGAGACACAGCAGGGTCAGGGAGAGAGGATGCCGGCCTGGGAACGTGTTGGCCTTTGGGTTGGATGCATTAACAGCCAGAGGGGAACAGACTCCTGCAGCAGAGGGGGATGGAGGAAGCGTGACTGAAGGCTGTGCTATAGGAGAGTAATCACGTAGGTCTGGAGTTGGTGAACCGTAATAACTTACTATCAAACTTTTCTTATGGGGTCTGAGGTGGAGCAGGGGTGCCAGATAACTTCAAGGTAACCGTCAGTGGAGCTAAGTCCTCTGCTCGAGTCTCAAGATGTGCTGCAGGCTGAACCTCTTGTACTGTGGGGATGCCAAATGCTGCATTTGCTGTGGAAAGCAGTTCAGCGGCTCCTTAGAAATCTAAACATAGAATTAACTAAATGAGCCAGCAATTCCACTTCTAGGTATTGAAAAACAAGAAAATTGAAAAGATCTAGAAGAGGGACTCACACCACAGATACTTGTGTGCCAGTGTTCATTGCAGAATTTATTCACAGCCGCCAAAGGTGGAAACAACCCGAGTGCCCATCAACAGAAGAATGAATAAACAAAACATGATACATCCATACCGTCGCTTATTATTCAGCCATAAAAAGGAATGAAGTTCTTTTATGAGCTACGACATGAATGAATCTTGAAAGTATTACACTAACTAAAATGAGTCATGCATAAACGGACGAATATTGTGTGAGTCCACTTACATAAGACATCTAGAAGAGGCAGATGCAGAGCCAGGTTTACCAGGGCCTTGAAGTGAATGGGGAGTTATCACTTGATGGTTACAGAGTTTCTGTTGAGGATGATGAAAACGTTTTGGAAGTAGAGAACAGCAATGCTTACACAACAACACGAGCGTACTTAATGATGCTGTATTATGCATTTAAAAATCATTAAAATGGTGCATTTTATGTGATGTATATCTGACCACATTTAAAAATATTTTTTGAAAAGAGAAACTGCAAAGATTGCTTGTAGGGTTAAAAATGACAGAGATTAGGAAGGAACATGCAGGAAGAGAGAAGGGAAACCCTGGGGTTATGCACACCTGACAAGGGAGCCTGAGGAAAGTGCTGGGACTTGATTTTTTAACATGTGTGGGGATGTTATTACAGAGCCAAGCTTCGTAAGCTTTTTCTGGGGCAAGGAATTCTTAGGAGAAGATTATACTTACGGGACCCACAAGGGTAATCATGTGAGGCTGCCGGAGACTGGAGGATGTCCTAAGGCTTTGGCACTCCTCAGTCCCACCGTGCCTCCAGAGCACTGAGGGGATCAATAGCTTAGCAGAGTGTGACCTACCCGGCCTTTGGGAGTGTTGTACACTGAATGCTATGTCCCCCAAATTCAATGTTGAAACCCTAATCCCAATGTGATGGTATTAGTTGGTGGGGACTTTGGGAGGTGATCAGGTCCTGAGGTTGATGAATGGGATTAGTGCCCTTACAAAAAAGACCCCACAGAGCTCCTTCAATCTCTTTCTCTCTGACATGAGGTTTCAGGGAAAAGACAGCTTTCTGTAAACTGGACAGTGCGGTCTCACCAGACACTGAGTATACTGGTGCATTGATTGTGGACCTCCTGGCCTTCAGAAGTGTGCGAAATAAATGTTTGTTCTCTAAAAAAAAAAAAAAAGAATGACAGAGAAAATGCAGCTTGAGCTTACCAGTTCCAGAAGGGCCCTCCTTCCCCTCATCCTCAGAGACACTGGGCCCCACAGCTGTCCTTTCTGCCCAGGGAGAGCGGGAGGAGCCGCTTTAACAAGACAACCAGAACTGCCAGCCCACATCCCAGCTTCCCCCAGTGATTCCCAGAGTCAGTCCTGTGGGGTCTAAATAGCTTCCTCCTTGATTAGAATTAGCTCTACCCTGCTGCCCTGACATACATGGGAACCAGGGGAATGTGGGAAGTGCTGGTTTCTGCAGCTTTGTGTTTGGGAGAATGCCAGAAAACACAGCTTTTGCTGTCATAATTGATCTAAATTTAAACACTCACTTGCTTTTGTTTCAAATTGGCTGGTGTGTGCATGGACACAGCCTAGGTTTGTGGGCACAGAGTATATTTTGTCAACATAGAGAGAGGGAATCAGGGTTTTTTGTTCTCTAAAACAGTCCTTGTTTTCAGTCTTGATTTCCCTACCATTTGATAAATGTCCTCTAGGCTTTAAGTCAAGGAGAGGTTGGAACCCAACCATATAATTGGAGGTTTTCCAGTTCACAGTAGTTAATTTTTCTACAACTTGTCTCCTTAATTTAGAACAACATTCAAAGAATAATAAGCACTATACCTCATATTAGTTTGGACCTATTTCTAGACTGCTGTATACACTATTCAGAACTAAAAGATATTTATTGTCTCTCGAGTTTTCAGTAAGATTGTGAAGAAAAAATAAAATTGTCTTGAATTTTATTAGTGATTTTCAGTCAAATGCTAAATGGGGGTGACAATATTTTTCAGTGAATGTAGCATTAATTTGCATACATCACATTACATCTGCCTCCATTAATGAAATTATTTTTAGATTTAGGCAATCAATATAGCCTTTTGCAATGCTCAAATCCTGTTGTAAGAAATAGTGCTGCTCAGTTGTACGTCCACATACTTTCTAAGATACCTTAATTTGTCTATGCTCATTCCTCTGCCAGGTTTAAGTTCAAGGTTTTGGTGATATTTTCAAAATGGTTTGTATGTAGAATGGCTGAGGGAAGTAGCAACTGTTTTTGTTTCATATTTTCTCCAAATATGACTTCCTTGTCCTCTTTTGCCAGAAAAAGGATGAAATTCTCTGATTTAACCACATTTGTTAAATGCCCTGTGTATTAGACTAAAATGTAGCTGTGGACGAGATAGGCCAGCCCACACATTCGGCTCTCCGGGAAGACAGCCTGGCATCTTGGGACAGCCAGAGTTGTGACTGCAGTGACAAATATTCCAGCTAGGAAGAGATGGAGGAAGTATCTATAATCATCAGCTCGAGTGCCCAGGGAACCTTCTGACAAGATTAGATTTTGAATGGGCAGACACTCGTTTTACTTATTAAATTAGCCGGTGACAGGAGGCTCTCTGCTCAGAGAGAGAGGGGGGATATGTTGGCTGACAGGATTCAAAAGGATCTCAGCAGGCTAGAATAATTGGCCAAATCCACAAGAAGAAAGTTAAAAGAAATCATTTTAAAGTCTGGCACCTGGATACAGAAACACCACCACCAGAGGATAAAGGATACATGGTTAGCAAATACGGAAAGTTTTAGTTGAAGTAAAGTTGTGAGTCATCAATATGGCAAAAGCTTTCCAAATGTGCATAATAAGCTCTCCAGAATGCTTATGCAGCCCTAGGCTGTATTAATAGACGATGATATTTCGTAAAGGAAAAGTGATAGCATAAAACATTTGCAGGCAATATACACAGACATCAAGAAAAGGCTCTTTGGGGTCAGACAACCATTTATCAGATCTCATCTCCAGCTCATCACGTAGCAGAATCATGAGGATTAGGAGTGATTCATAAAAATATCAAATGTACATTAAACTTCTTAACCTAAACTATGCACGTTCATTCTTTCACAGATTCTTTGGAGTCGGATCATACTATGACCATATCTGTGGTTTGTGACTGGCCTTTATTCTCATTTGTTCAGTGTGTGTTCTGATTGGTTTTAATAATTTTTGGAATATGAATATGAATGTCAGTCTCTGGCTAAAGTTCTTCATTTTTCATTTAAGCAAACCCCATCTTTAATGAATTATCTAAGCTTTCTAGCTGCTTCATTTCTTTTTAATGAAGCAAATACCTAAAGACATCTTCTAATCAATCCAAATCTCTCTAGGATTTTAACATTTTCTCCCTTTTTCCTTTGACAGGTTTTTTAATCTCACTTAAAATAAACTATTTTAAAAGACTCATCTGCAACAAGTTTCTCCAAGCATTCAACTTAATTTTCATATAAGTAGCTTTCTTTCCTCATATTTCATCAGCTTACATAATATTTTATTAAATTAAAGAATTAAAATAACCAGTATATAACTGGCATAGACAGGATGAGGACAAACAGCTGTCTCATATGCAACTTAGAAGAATTAGACGGGTATCAGAGAAGAGTCCACTACCCATGAGCAGTCACTGTGCTGGGGAACAGAAAGTCATCAGAGTGAAGTCACCAGGATGGTTATGGGACTTGGTGTGGCTTACGATTGAATCAAGTGCAGGCGTTTAGTCTAAAGAGGGGCTGATTCAGTGATACAAATGACCTGAGTTGTTGGAAGGTTTTATATATAGAAGATTCAGTGAGCTGCTTCTCCAGGACTCCAAAGAGAGATTAAGAGTGAGAGAGAGAGAGAACACGGACCACTGAATAATGTTATAAACAGACAAATTTCAGTTCATACCAGTATGAATTTTAATAGAGAATTTAAAGATGACATAAGCTTTCTTGGGAGATACTTATCACTGGACATGTTCAAACACAGGCAGGATGAGCAACCTGACAAGGATAGTGTAGAACAAATTTAGGGTGTTGTAGAAATTCAATTAGATAATGATAACTTCTCAAATCATAACAGCAATATGAGAAAATCAGTAATTGAGGAAAATCTTTTAAGAAGGACTAGGTAGAAGACATTCCTTTGACTTTTAGATTGCTAAAGTAAGGTAGTCTGAAAGTCCTAAATGTCACTACTTCATCTTAACTTTAATAAACACATTTTTTTCTTTAAAACAATAATTATTGTCTCAAGATGTCTGAAATCTAAAAATATATATATATGTGTGTATATATATATATATATGTACATGTACATATATATATTTATACAGTTGACCCTTGAATGACAGAGGTTAGGGGTGCCAATTCCCTGTGCAGTTAAAAATGCATGTATAATTTTGAATTGCCTAAAACTTAACTATTAATAGCCTCCCATTGACCAGAAGCCTTACTGATAGCATAAACAATATGTATTTTGTACATTTTTTAAAAACTGTATTCTTACAATAAAGCAAGTAGAGAAAAGCAAATGTTATTAATAAACTCATAGAGAGTAGAAAATGCATTCACAGTACTGTACTGTATTTATGGTTACCAAAAGTTTACCTCATCTGTTTACAAGATGAATCATCTATCCTTCAATACACACATCAATATTTTCTTATGTGATACAAAAAATTGTAAATTTTATACCTATCACAAACACTGGTCATTGAAAATAAAAAGATAGTGTGAAGAAGAAATTCATATTTACTTATAGGTATAGCAATTCACACATTGATAACGAAGCAGCAGCAAAATGATTGCTTTACGATAGCTTAGTGTAATTGGTACAGTTACTTCATGGTAGCCTAACCCGTACACTAATGAATGAATCATTATAAAATTTTTACCGCATAGTCCTAATACAGTATTAGAAAACCTTCTTCCATTTTCTTATAAACCACCTACCTGTGATGTTAGGCTGATAAACAGTTTCTCCAACTATGGGAGAGAGAGACATACTTACTATACAGTAAAGTAACTCTTTGAAAGCAAAGTTACAAAATAATAAGAAAAACAACAAATTATTGATTTCATATGAAATATCACTTACCTTATGCTTATGTAAAGATCGCTGTCCACTTCCATTTAAATCTTCCACACAATGTTTTGTACCATAAATTATTTTGGCAATGACGACACAAAAATGTCTCATATAGTTTCTGCTGTATGGTTACTAGATCTTCACACAAAGACACACCCATGCAGTACATACAAGTTTATCGGGTGCATGACATGATGATTATTCACTATTCATTAAGTGGAAGTGGGTGATGATAAAGGCCTTCATCCTTGCCGTCTTCACGCTGAGCAGGCTGGGCGGGAGGAGGAGGAGGTGGGTTGGTCTGGCTGCATCAGGGGTGGTGGAGGTAGAAGATGGAGGAGGTGGAACAGGAGGCAGGAGATGCAGGCATGCTCGGGGGACTACGGAAATACATCCTAATTTCTGTTTTTGCTTTTTTACTTCTCTAAAAATGTTTCTATATGATACCAGACCTTCCACAATTTGCTTTACAGGTACCATGGAAGGGCCCATACTGTAAAAGAAGTCAAAACCAGTCTGAAATAGCTGGAACCCTCTGCCAGACTATCTAATGTCAATTTGTTTTCTGGCACTGCTGCTTCTGCGTCTCCTTCCTCATCATCTAGAGCTGGTTGGAAGTGCTCATCTTTCATGATTTCCTTAATTGGCTGTGTCATAAATCCTGTGATGTCATGCACAACATCTGGACACAGTTTTCTCCTGCAGGAATTTATGATTTGGGGCTTGATGGCTTTCACAGCTTTTTCTGTAGCAGTGATGGCACCTTCAATGGGGTAATCTTTCCAGACTTTCATGAGGTTCTCTTCCATAGCAGTGACATCCTTTCTGTAAGGTACCAGGCATAATGAACCTCATTTTCTTCAGTATAAGAATTCTATATCTCAAATCAAGGAGGAAGAAATAAAGAAACAGATCTTATTCATATTATTAATAACACTATTTTCTGGAATAAGATTATTTTGTATCTCCACTACATGAGGGTTTGTTAAATAAATTTGTTATATGAATTTAAAATGATTCCTAACCTGTTGGATAAAATTTACTTGATATAGTTGTAGCTTTCAGAGTTTAGAAATCTAATAGCATAGGCATCCCTTTATTTCCTTATTAGGAGACAAGACACAATAGGTGCATTAGAGTAGACTTTAACTCTAGATAGTTGTCACATTTGGGGGGGATATAATTTGAACCCCAGTATATCTTTGCTCCATCCATAAATAATGGAGTTTTA